TGCTTGGAAAGTAAAAGGCTCTGTGAACTCTGGCTAGTGCTGCCTGACCTAAGTCCCATGCTACTCAACTTTTCATTTTGGAAATTTTCAAGTCTACAGAAAATTTGAAAGTTTAATGTAATAGAGGTTTTGGGTGAAACTCATTGCCAGAGTGAGTACTTAGCATGCCTAAGACTTGGGGTTCATGGGGGCTGGAGAGATGGCTCAGCATTTAAGAGCACTGGCTGCTCCTGCAGAGGAGCTGGGTTCAAATCCCAGCACTTACATGGTAGCTAACAACCATCTGTAAGTTCATTTCCAGGGGAATCTGACACCTTCTTCTGAACTCCATGGGCATTGCATGACAAGGGTGCACTTACACACATGCAGGCAATACACTTATACACATTACAAAAAGAAAGCTGAGCCAGGCATGGTGGCTCATGCCTTTAATCCCAGCACTCAGGAAGCAGAGGCAGGCAAATCTCTGTGAGTTTGAGGCCAGCCTGATCTCCATAGCGAATCCAGGCCAGCTAGGGCTACAGGGAGACCCTGTCTCAAAAAGACCAAAAAAAAAAAAAAAAAAAAAAAAAAGGCAAGTGTGACCGTATATGCCTTTAATCCCAGCACCTGGGAGAGGCAGGTGGATCTCTGTGAGATCAAGGCCAGCCTGGTTTACATAGCCAGGCCAACTAGGGCTTCAGGGGGATGGATCCTCTCTCAAAAAACAAAAAAAGCAATACCAACACCAACAAGGTCTTACTATATAGCTCTGGCTGGCCTGGTACTCCTGACAATCTTCCTACTTTGCCTCCCGAGTCCTGGGGTTCCAGGGCACCATGCACAGGCTGGCCTCAAACTCTGTACATAGCTGAGGATGACCTTGAACTTCTGATCCTCCTGCTGCCACCTAACTGCAAAGACTACTGGGGCTGGAGAGATGGCTCAGTAGTTAAGAGCACTGGCTGTTCTTTTTTTTTTGTTTTTTTTTTTTTTTTAAGACAGGGTCTCCCTGTAGCCCCAGCTGTCCTGGAACTATGTTCCACCGAGTGCTGGGGTTAAAGGTGTGCGCCACTGCACCAGGCTCACTGGCTGTTCTTGTAGAAGACCAGGGTTCAAATCCCAGCACCCACAGGGTGGCTAACAACTGTCCCTAACGCTAGTTCCAGGGATCTAATGCCCTCTGTGTCCTCCACAGGTACTGCATGACACTGGTGCACTTAAATACATGCAGACAACATATTTATACACATAAAATAAAAATAATAAAATACTGAAAAAACAAAATACAAGGACTACAGGTGTGTACTACTAGTCCTGGCTCTGTGGTAGGTCCTGTTGGCCATGTAAACATAGGGGACTCTTAAAGACAAGGATGTGCAGAAAGGTTGCTCACAGGGCTAGCAGGTGTTGTTGGCACCTGCCAGGGATCTCAGCTGCTTCTGTCAATTGGAGAAATTAAATTCTCCATGTAGGTTGGGGTTCCCATGATGGGAGAGCTGGGTCCAAGGAGGAAGTGGAAGCTATCGGTCATCTCAAGCCCTAGGCTTCAAAGCCCGACCACGTTACTTGTATATTCCCTTTGGTTGGGACAGTTGCAGAGCCAACTTTAGTTGAGCTCTCCTTCATAGAGGAGTGGCCTGTGCAAACACAGTTTTTAATCTACCTGAACCTCAACTTTGACTCTAGTGCTTTCCAGATGATGTCATGCAGAGCAGAGCAGGATTCACCAAAAGCATCATGTCTTGCTTCTTTCTGGATCCTTCTCTGACATCTCTCAATAAGCATTTTTTTTTACTGTTTAATATCAGTTATACTTTCTGTGAACATACATACACACACATATATATAACATGTATATCTGAATATGTATATATTTTCACTATATATTTCTATATATACTGCATTTGAATCAAATTGATTTTTTTTCTTTTGGTTTTTTTGGGACAAGAGTCTCCCTGTTGCTTCACCTGGTGGGGAATTCACTATGTAGACCAGGCTGGCCTCTATCTCACAAAGATCCCTCTGCCTCTGCCTCTGCTTCTGCTTCTGCCTCCTGAATGCTGGGATTAAAGGCATGTCCTTAATCTCACAGAGATCTGCCTGCCTTGGCCTCCCCAGTGCTGGGATTGAAGGCATATACCACCATGCCCAGCTCCAAATTGATTTCTTTAAAAAATTTTATTATGGCCAGGCATAGTGACACATGCCTTGTGGTCCCAGCCCTCAGGAGGCAGAGGCAGGAAGATCTTTGTGAGTTCAAGGCCAGCCTGGTCTACATATAGAGTTCCAGGCCAGCTGGGGCTACAGAGAGACCCTGTCTAAAAAAAAAAAATTATTATGCATTATGGTGGCACATACTTTTAATTCTAGTACTTGGGAGTTCCAGGCTAGCCAGGGGTGAATAGTGAGACCCTGTCTTAAAAAATGCCAAAACATTTTTTTATTACATTAAAATTTAAGTATGTGTGTAAAACTTGTGTGCCTGCGTGTGTGTATGGGTGAGTCCTTGTCACAGCATGCGTGTGGAGAGCAGAGGACAACTTGAGGAAGTTGGTTTTCTCTTTCTACTTGTGGGTCTTGGGGATCTAACTTAGATTGTCAGGCTTGGTGGCAAGGGCCTTTATCAGCTGAGCCATTTCACTGGCCCCCAAAATTGATATATTACAGATTTTTTTCTTTGGGCTGGAGAGATGGCTCAGCAGTAAGAGTACTGGCTGTTCTTGCAGAAGATCAGGGTTTGAATCCCAGCACCCACTTCCAGGGGGATCTGACGGCCTCTTCTGTCCTCTTCAGGCACTGCACAACATGGTGCACTAACACACATATAGGCATAACACTCATACACATAAAAAATAAAAAAATTTTGCCGGGCGTGGTGGCGCACGCCTTTGATCCCAGCACTTGGGAGGCAGAGGCGGTGGATCTTTGTGAGTTCAAGACCAGCCTGGTCTACATAGTTCAGGACAGCTGGGTCTACAAGGAGACCCTGTCTCAAAAAGACAAAAATTTTTTTTAAATGAGAAAAGATATTTTTCTTTGCTTTTATCCTTTCTCCTTGCTTCTTTTTCTTCTACAAGTATTAAGTGCATACATAGGCCAGTCACTAACCTGGATGCTGGAAACAAATCAGATTTCCTGCCTTGTAGGGATTATAGTTCAGAAGGGGAGATGGGCCATTAAAAAAAAAAATCAAATGGTAGCTGGGGCATGTCCTCAGGACGGGGAGGCTGAGGCAGGAGGATTTCGAGTTGCAGGCCAGCTTGGGATACATACAGAGTTTTAGACCATCCTGAGCTACATAGTGGGACTTTGTCTCAAAAAACAAGGGCTGGGGATGTAGTGCAGAGGTAGAATGCTTACTTAGCATGTGCAAGGTCTTGGGTTCATCACTGAGCACTGTTTAAAGACAAAACAAAAAGTGTAAATGAATGAAAAACATAAGGTGTGTCTGAAATGCTAAAGGTACTTTGAAGGAAGAGGACTGAAGCAAGGACAGGAGAAAGGGAAAGCTGGCGTCTGAAGTGGGCTTAAGATGCAACAGTTAGCACAAAACCTCTTGGAGGAAGTGATATTTAGACAGTGATCACTGGAAGATGAGGGAGTGGGATATTGGGATTGTCTTCGGGGTAGGAAGTTACTCTGGGAGGAAGAAGCAGCTTGATCAGTCTCTGAGGCTGGAGTATATGAACTCTTGGAGAGGCCCAACAGGTTTGGTATTTGTCTGCAGTACTGAGTGGAAGTTGGGGGTGGAGGGTGAAGGGGGAGGGATTGCATTGGACTTTCTTTTATCAGGGTCCTCCCAGGCTTCTGTGAATAGACTCCAGGGGTGAAGGGTGGAAACGTGTGTCGGAGCTTTATTCACATTTCATACTGATTCTGCATGAAGACAAGGTCTATTTTAACCCAATTCCCCAACAACAACCTTCAATTCCCTCCCAAATTCTTTTTACACAAAATATTATCCTCAACCTGATTTATTGCATTTGATTTTGACCTTATTTAAAAAAATTTTTTTAAATTATTTTTATGTGTATGCGTGTATTGCCTGCAGGTAGGTAAGTGCACCCGTGTGGTGCAGTCCCCAGGGAGAAAGAAGAGACTGTCGGATCCTCTGGGACTGGAGCCACCGACAGTTGTCAGCTGCCATGTGGGTACTGGGATACGAACCCGGGTCTTCTGCAAGAACAACCAGTGTTCCCAACGGCTGAGCCATCTCTCCAGCCCGATTTTGACCTTTTTGTGTGTGAGAGACAGAGATTTTGTAACCCAGGCTGTGCTTGAACCCCCTCCTCCCCTCAGGATGACCTTGACCTGATCCTTCAGCCTCTACCTCCTCTACCATACCTGGCTTCGCCTTTTTATGCTTTGATGCCTTTAAGGGTGCGAACTAGCTGTTCTGTGGAATGCCTCATATTCTGGATTTGTATTTTTATTTTGTCAGATTCAGGTCTTTTTTTTGGCGGGGGGTAGCCTTCTGCCTTATTTCTACACTGCATCCTCTCAGGAGACAAGTGGTAACAGCTGGACCCATTCTGGGGGACACAAGTTCAGTCCACCACTTAGTTAAAGTGGTGTCTCCCAGATCTCCCAGGGTACCTCAGTCTGTTCTGTGATGTACATCACAGACACTCGGAGCGACACGTCGGGACTGAATACTCCGCTATGCTATTACCTTTCACCCAGGGACTTGGCATCCCATCACCCTCTCCAGGGCTTCTGCCCTCCTGCCTCAGTTTGCACGTCTGAAAAGTAGGGATGAAGGCGCTCCTTTGGGGATGCTGGTCTTGGGGATCCGTGCTTAGCGTACAGTAAATGCTTCATCCATGTCAGATATTCCTGGATGGACACCAGCACAGGAGAAAACGAGGGAGGACTGACACGCGACTCCAGCCCCAGCAACCCTTCTCGAGAGCGTCCTCCCGCCGCGCGGCCACACCCCCGCCGCCCGCGCATGGCCCCCTGGGACCCGTAGTGCTGGGCGTGGCTGCGGGACTACAATTCCCGACCGCCCTTGCGTCGCGGCTTCGGCGGCGGCTGCCTCAGCTCCTCAGAGCGCCGGCGGCGACCGCGGTGGAGTCGGTGTCTGCGGCCGGGGCTGAGCTGCGAGTTTCGGATTCGGCGGCGCTGAGGAAGATGGCGGCGGGTGGTGAGTGGAGAGAAAGGCGGCGGTGGGGACCGCGGGCGGGGGTCTCCGGGTAACCGCCTCCGCGGCGCGCAGGCGACAGTGACGGGGACCCGGCGGGCGGTGGCGGCTCCGAGGCCCGCGCAGGGTCGCTGAGGAGTTCGGGCCACTTCGGGCCTCTCCGCCCGAGCCCTCGGCTGCCGGCCGCACTGTCCGAGCCCGCGGGGTCCGAGGCCCCGGCTGCGCCGCACAGTCTCCCGCTTCCCGCCGCTCGGACGCTGTACTATGCGGTCCCAGACTGGTGGCGGACGGGGCTCCTCGGAAGAGGCTGCGACTCCGCTGCCAGCGGAGGTGCGGGTGTGGGGTGTGCGTGGATGTGGGGTGAGGTGCGGGGTGTTCGTGGATGTGGGGTGTGTGCGGATGCGGGAAGCGTGCGTGGATGCTGGGTGTGCGGGGTGTGCGTGGATGCGGGGTAAGGCGCTGGGTGTGCGATGTAGGGTGTGCGTGCATGCGGGGTGAGGTGTGGGGTGTGCGTGGATGCTCGGTGTGCGCGGTGTGTGCAGGGTGTGCGTGGATGCCGGGCATGCGGAGTTAGGTGGGGTGTGCTGGGTGCTTCGGGCGTGCGGGGTGTGTGGGGTATGGGAGGCTGTGAGGTGTGGGTGTGAGGTGTACGGGTGTGAGGTGTGAGAGGTAGCTGTGAGGTGTGCGGGGTGGGTGTGGGGTGTGTGATGTGTGTGGAGTGAATACAGAACTGTTGTCTATGTGGAATGAATGCGGGGTGTGGGGTGAATGTGGGTCCGTGGGTGAATACGGGCTTTGCTGTCTGTATCACCTCCACCGTTTCCACCTTTTCCCCAATCACGTCTTCTTTCGTTCATTGATTCAGTTGGCAGTAATCTAAATAAAATAACCTGGCACAGGCAGTAAAAGAAGCCAGCCAGCTTGGGGAGAGGCGGTGTTACTTCCTAGGCAGTTTGAGGCCATCCAGGTTGGAGAAGTTCAACAGAAGAACTGGAACTAGGCAGACCATCCCAGACCCAGGGAGTAGGACTCGAACACAGAATGACAGGGAAGGTGGGAGACTGTCTTGAAGGTGAAACTTTCTCGCTCCCTAAAGACTTCCTCTTTTGCAGTATCTGAGCAGCGTTCAAAGCCAGCCTGTCTTAGTTATTAAATGTATGGTTCAGAACTAGGAAGGCTAATGCCGGCTGTCTGCTGCAGCGCCTCTAAAGTGGAGTAAATGACAGAGGGCGCGAGATGCTTGTGGTAGGGTTGTTATAGCCTGAGGCACTCAGCTGGTCCTCACTGCCAACCCACCAGCTGATCTCTGGCTGCATGAAAACCTCAGTGTTTGTTGCTCAGGTTATTGAAGAGATACTCGGGTAAGGAGTGTGGATCCAAGATCTGCAAATACTGCTGTAAACCAAAAATGTTACTGCAAATCTGTTAAGTTCTCAACCTGATCTAAAAAGATTTAGTTTATTTAGAAGGATATCCAGATGTGATACTTACTGAAAAGGTAGGAAAACATTATGAAAACATTGAAAAAGAAATCTCTTCGTCTCCAAACCCTCTGTCAGAGAGCAAGTGGCAGCATTTTCTGGAGTCTGGCCTTTCTGTTTTCATTTGGCAGGTGTAAACTGAAGGCAGGGAATAGGAATGGACAGAAGCTAGGGGAGGAGTGGTGGGAACATTGTCTCTTAATCTTGATAGCTATTAGAAAGGCTCTTTTGGAATTAGTGCTTACATTGGTTATTGTAATACCCTTAGAGAAATACCAGTCTATGGGACTGTAGGATGAATAACCCCACGGAGTTCATTGTTAGAAGAAGCCTCTGTTTGGAACATGTGAAATGATATTGCACAGTATATCACCTGTGTCACTGGAGGTTCCTTCAGGTTTTGAGCTTAAATGAGCAGTGATCTAAATTGCCTGTGATCCTAAATTATCGTTTCTTTTGGTTTCACTATGTATTTCTGGTTGGCCTGAAACTCACAGAGGCCTGCTTGCCTCTGCTTCCTGAGTGCTGGGAATAAAGGCCTATGCCACCATGTCTGTTTGTAGAGTATTTTATATATTGATAGAAATGACTTACTTGTCCAATCAGGATTCAAAAATAAAAAGGCATATGCCAGCTTTTGGCATATAGAAGTACATTTTATAGTTGGGAATTGTGGACTAAGTGGGAGACTATAATTTTTCTAAGCAGTTACAGGAGCTGTTTCCATCTATCATAAAATATCTCTTAATTACAGAGATATTCATAATAACAAATGTCAGCAAAAGCTCAATAAGATTGTCTTTTTATTTATTTTTATTTTATTTGTATGAGTGTTTTGCCTGCATGTATTAAGTGTACCATGTCTGTGCAGTGTACATAGATAACAAAAGAGGGTGTGGGATCCCCTGGAACTGGAGTTACAGATGGTTGTTAGCTGCCATGTGGGTGCTGGGAACTGAACCTTGGTCCTATGCAAGAGCATCCAGTGTGCTTAACCACTTAGCCATCTCTCCAACCCATCTTTGGTTTTTTGAGATGGTCTTAACAGCTCATGCTGACCTGGAACTCAGTATGTTGCCCAGGTTGGTCTTGAACTCATGATCCTCCTGGCTCAGCTTCTCAGTGCTGAGATTGCAGGTGTTTTAACATTTTCCTCAGCTAGGATTATCACTTTTATCACTTTGTTTTTTTTTTGGTCTTTTTGAGACAGGGTCTCCCTGTAGCCCAAGCTGTCCTGGAACTCACTGTGTAGATCAGGCTGGCCTTGAGCTCACAGAGATCCACTTGCCTCTGCCTCCCAAGTGCTGGGATTAAAGGCGGGCACCACCACGCCTGGCTTGTTTCTGAATTTTAAAATTTCAGTGTCTAGTTGTATAGCCTAGGCTTGGTTGAACTCAGCCTTCTGCTTTAGCCTTTCAACTGGGGTTATAGACATGTCCCATCTGTAACTACAATTCTATAGGATCCAGGGCTCTCTTCTGGCCTCCTCAGGCTCCTGCATATATGTGGTGCACATAAACTCAAAAAAACCAAACCAAAACAAAACAAATAACCATATATACACACACAAACAACAAAAAAAAAAAAATAAAACCTTAAAACAGCTGGGTGTGGTGACACACACCTTTAATCCCATCATTCTGGATGCAGAGGCAGGCAGATCTCTGAGATCAAGGACAGCCTGGTCTATGTAGTGAGTTTCAGCCCAGCTGTGGCTACAGGGAGACCCTTGTCTCAAAAAAAAAAAAACCAAAAACAAAAAACTCTTAAAAGAACTGAATGATAACCAGAGTTAGGTTATTAGGGATTATATTAAATAATTTTTTAGTACTCACCCACACCCAGCCAATTTCAATATATGTAAATTATATATAAAAATAAATTTTAAAAAATATTTTACCTTTATGTGTATGAGTGGTATTTTTTTTTTTTTTTGGGGTGTGTGTGGGTGTGTGTTTTTGAGTCAGGGTCTCCCTGTAGCCACAGCTGGCCAGCTGGCCTGGAACTCGCTCTGTAGAGCAGGCTGGCCTTGAACTCATGGAGATCTGCCTGCCTCTGCCTCCTGAGTGTAGGGATTAAAGGTGTGTGCCACCAGGCCTGGCCCTATATGAGTGTTTTGCTTGCATGTATGTAAGTGTACTATGTTCATGCATCACTTTTGGCATTGGATGCCTTGGGATTAGAGTTACAGACTGTTGTTAACTGCCATGTGGGTGCTGGGACCCAAATTTGGGTTCTCTGCAAGAGTAGCAAGTGCTGTTAACCACTGAACCATATCTCTAGCTCCTCCACTTTATTTTTAAGTGTATAAGAGCCTGTATAGACATATATGCACTATATAAGTGAAGTGTCTGTGGAGGCCAAAAGAGGATATCATCCCCTGGAACTGGAGTTACAGACTCGTGAGCTGTTTTGTGGGTTGTGGGAACCAAACCCAGGTCCTCTCCAAGAGCAGCAAGTGTTTTCCAGCCCCTGTATTACTTTTTTTTTTTTTTTTTTTTCCGGCCTTTTTGAAACAGGGTTTCCCTGTAGCCCCAGCTGGCCTGGAACTCAGCATATAAACCAGGCTGGCTTCAAACTCACAGAGATCCACCTGCCTCTGCCTCCCAAGTGCTGGGACTATAGGCGTGTGCCACACCTGGCTTTTATGTGTATGAGTTTTATCTGCATGTGTTAAGTGCATCTGTGTTGTGCAGTGCCCACAGAGGCCAGAAGAGGGTGTTGGATCCCCTGGAACTGGAGTTACAGATGGTTGTTAGCTGCCATGTGTGGGTGCTGGGAATTGAACCTGGGTCCCTATGCAAGAGCAGCCAGTGCTCTTAGCTGATGAACCATCTCTCTAGCCTTGTCTTTTTGTTTTTTTTGAGATGGTCTCACAATATGTAGCCCTGACTGGTCTGGAATTTGTTGTGTAGACCAGGCTGGCCTTGCATTAAAAAAGACTCATCAGCCTTTGCCTCCAGTGTTCTGGAATTAAAGGTTTGTGCCATGCCTGGCTCCCTCATATTTTGAAAGTGATTGTATGGTACATTTCTTCTGGTATAAAAAATACTTCTGGGGGTTGGAGAGATGGCTCAGTGGTTAAGAACACTGACTGTTCTTGCAGAAGACCTGGGTTCTCATCCCAGCACCCACATGGCAGCTAACAACTGTCTTTAACTCCAGTTCCAGGGGATCCGACAGCCTCTTCTGTCCTCCACGGGCATTTCATGAGACAGGTGCACTTACCCACATGCAGGCAATACATGCATACTCATAAAATAAAAATAATAAATAAAATATTAAAAAAAAAAACTTCTGAGCCAGGCATGGTGGTGCACACCTTTAATTCCAGCACTTGAAGGCAGAGGCCAGCCTGGTCTACATAGTGAGCTTCAGGCCAACTGAGGCTACAGGGAGACCCTATCTCAGACAGACCAAAAAAAACAAAAAACAAAAAACATTCTGTAAAGTACCCCTACCCCTTTAGTAAATAAGAATTCATTTAGTAAGATAGTAAGATGGGAGTGCTTTATGGAACCC